GGAGAACGGGCTCGTAGGGCGCGGGCACGAGCAGACAGGGAAATCACAAGGCAAACACTGAGTCATCCAGGGCAACCAGGCAAGTCCTGCTCCCCATGGTGAGAAGGCCACTGGTGTGGATCAAATGTGGGGAGTGTGGTGATTCCCATGGAGAATCCCCTCTGAGACAAGTTTCTAAAAGATGGGGAACATCCAGTGGGGAATATCATGATAAACACTTCAATGCTGACCCATGAGCACCATTAAAAGGTGTGGCAGGTCTCAGCTACACAAAAGGGAATTCCACGTGTTGGTGCAACATTATGTTTGCATTGGAAATACAAATTGGGAATTTGTTGGGAGAAAATTCACCAGCATGGATGCCCTAGAGATAAGATCATGTGCAGATGATAGGGATCCACATGTCTTATCACACCCTATGCTCCATTCCCCTGGACACAAGAGATTGTTCATCTTCCCCAAGTAGCAGAATAAGGCTGGAGCTAGGGACATGTAGACAGTAAAGGAAAAATAAACCCAAAAATCTCCAGCACTGAGGTTCCAAGCTGCTCTGATGCTGCTGGATCACAATCCAGCTAAATGGGAGTAGTTATGGAAAGAGGACTCATTGCCATCACTGGAAGTGCCCAAGGCCAGGCTGGAGGAGGCTTGGAGCAACCTGGCATAATGGAAGGTGACCCTGCCCATGGCAGGGGGTTGAATCTCTAAGGTCTCTTCCATCCCAAATTATTCCATGATTCTGTGGTGCTGTGGTGTGCTTTTGGTGAGGTTGGAAGGGGTCTCAAAGCAGCAGATTTTGGCCTGGTATGAGGAGTCAAAGACAGCCAAGGCCTCCTTTTTCCCTGGCCTTGAGAAATCTAGAGCTGGACATGGGGTATTTATCCCCAAAGGACATTTCACCCTTGGGTGCACCAATTCTGCCACTCCTGATTTGGGGAGCCCCATGGAGCAGCAGAGACACAGCCAGTCACAGCAGAAACTCAAAAGGTGCTCCAGCAACAAGTAACTGTCCATACTCCAGGAATAGTGTCCATATGAATATTCACCTGTCTTAAAATGAATCCTGTCTTAAAATGACCCCTGAATCCAGTGACCACAGATCTCCTCTGGCTTTTCCAGAGAGCTCCTTAGTTACATAAACAACATTTATCAGTCCACTGGGTGTTTTCTAAACCCAAACCCTCCTATTTGTTATTCTTGGTTGTTTTTCTTTTCCCTTTATCTACCCGAGCAACGTTACCTTCAGGGCTGTTTTTCTTGCCTACAATTTTTGATCCACTTATAACTTTTAAAATAATATCTTTCATCATAAACTCAAAGGCTGAGTTTTCAAACAGTTTCCAAATTATAGCCCCAAGAGTTAGGGGACACATTTCCCGGCACTCTCATCACTATGCCAAAATACAGAAAACTATAAAATTGTGAAATTTGTGAAGAGGTGTCTGCATTTGTCACAAAATTATATTTATATACACCTATATATTTAGCTCAGGTTATTTTATATATATATATATCTATAGATAGATGGATAGACAGATAGATGTCAACACATAAAATAATCTGAGCTAAAGAAATTTTCTGAGCATGTTTATAAAAGTTTGATAAAAGTTCTTTAGATAAACATTGTTTAACAGCAAATATTGTGTTACTTTACAGCACAGAAGTCTCCTCTCACCCCTCTTTCCTGCTTGAGCTCTTTGTTGGTCATTAACTGCCTGTGCTGAGTAGTTTGTTCCATTATCCAAACTCCAGATCTGTCCTCACCAGACAATAGCCAGCTCTGCTGGCAGATGAGTGCATTTTGGATCTGGTATTCTCTATTCTTACAGATTTACCTAATGGAAATTTGTAACATGTAGTAATTCAGCTTCCAAAAAAAGCTACAAGATGATGCAAGGAAAAATATTTAAATTTTTAGAAGAGCAAACACACTGCATACTCCTCTTCCAGCTTCTCCAATTCCCAAAGTTTTTACTTTGGAACCCACAGCACTACTAAAACATATTGGAAGGTTAAGTGTCTTAAAAGGATTCAGTAATCTAAATACATATCTGAGTGTTGTCCAAAATGTCTTACTCAGGACCAGCCAAAGTAACTAAAAATAAATCTGTTGTCTTAAGCAAAGTTTGGATCAAAATCCTAATGTGTGACTGGTTTGCTTGTCTTAGTGTAAACCAGACCTTAATCCTGAACATGTTAAAGGAACATCCTGCATTTCATCCTCCCTTCTTTCTCCTCAGCCTTGTACTGTCCATGGCTGGGTTTTGTGCTTCAGTTCGTTGTGTTTCCTTCTTTCCCTTTGTGCAATGAGAAACACATGGATTTATCCCACTTCATTCTGGATACTTAGCTGAAGCTTCCAAGCCTGGAGTGTCAGCATGACAAAGAGGAGCTGGGTGTCTCTGGAAGCAACTCAACACATCTAGAGGTTGAAGTGCCTCTCCTTGTCTCTCACTCTCTGTGGATTAGAGAGGACCCAGTGGAAAGGGGTTCTCAGTTTGGCCCCTCAGTGCAGGACCTGCAGCCAGGCAGGAGAAATCCGAGTTGAGGCATGCAACCCCACCCAGTATCCACTGGGAACACTGGATGGCCACTCACTCCATTACACTGCCCCCAGCACTTTTCTCCTATAAAAAACATCTCTCCAAAAGCACAGCAGGGTCAGAACAGAGGACAAAGCCACACACATCCAGACCCCTTTCCCAACCTTGTCAAACAAGCAGACCTCTCTTTCTTTCTATTCCTTTTCTGAGCAGGGAATCCACACCTCCTTATCCACAAGAGGGGCTGGAAGACAGAGCAGCTGGCAGGGATGCCAGCTCTGAGCCTCCCCTCCTTTTCCTCAGGTGAAAAACCATAGCAATAAAAGCAACTCTGTGGTTTCTCCTTGTCAGCTCTTTGCTGAAGGAGGCACCCTGGTGCTGTGGTTTCAGGATGTGCCCCTTTTGAGATCGGTTCTGCATGAGCACAGCCCCTCTGCTGCTGCTCCCCCATGCCTTGGGCTCAGACCCTGTTCCCCCTCAGCCCTTCCCTCCCCAGGCACTCCAGGCTTGTCACTGGGAAATGAATGGACTTCCTTTCCTTTCCTCTCTAGTTCTTTCTCTCAAGGGAGAAGAACAGCTGCTGCCTCCACTATCCCCAGGGGGGTCTCCTCACTGCTCCTCCAGACAGAACATTTACAACTGGATGTGAAAGAAAAAAGAGGCAGAATTCTGAATATTTTCTAATGACAAACAGTGAGACCAGAGCTTTTAGAAACTATATTCTCTGTTTTTCCATTGCACAGAAATTGTTGATCAATTTGTAAAATTTATATGATGGAGACTTAACCCTACCTGGTTTTGCCTTTGTAGCTTGAGGAGTTACTAACTGAGGAGCAATAAAAGCTTCAACCCAACTTTCACAAATGGCCAGGTTTAGAGCTTTGGTTAGAGGAAGGAACCAGTCATCAGGATTTTATGGAAGCAACAGGGAAAAACCAAGCTTAAGTGCTACCAAAACCAGACCTCCCGTGTTTAATGGCAGTTGGACCTCTCGAGGAAACCACTTGGGCGGACACACTGTCCCATGTGGTTGAGCTGTTCCCTCTGTCAGTGGTTTCAGAGGAAAAGATCACGTATCACACTGGCAGCCAGAGCCTTCTGGAGTCAATAAAGTTATTTGCTCTTCTTCCCCAAAATGTTTTGAGTTAAGCCATCAAAATTTCCAAAGCGCTGGCAGGATGGAATTGCTGCAGGCACCAGGAGAGAGGGAGGTGAGCAGCCAACTCAGAGTAAAACAAGGGTGGATGATATTGAGCTGCCCAGGAATCACCTTAATATCAGATTTGATTCTGGTTTGAGAATTTACTCATGTTTTGAATTAACTATATTGTCAAATTACGGTATGCAAAACCATATTGCTATTTTGCCTAAGTTATTTCAGAAGAGGTGTTGTATTTACAGATTTATGTCCCAAACACACTGTGACTTCAAATGGGCAGAAGATTTCAAATTAGCTCAATTTGCAAACTGCAGTCAGAAATATTCTGCAAGAAAGGGACCAAGGAAAATATGTGAAATACTTGTTCTTAAGAGATCAGGTCAAATAAGTGACCAGAAGGAATTTCCATTTATAGCACTGTGTGTCCTGCAGTGGCTGTAGCACTGCCTCTGACAGTGGGAGGATTTCAAGTTTAAAAGTGTATTTATCCCTTTTTCTCTCCTATTATGCTGCAACAACAACAGCAAAATGACATTTTGAGGAGGAGGAGCTGTGGCCAGGCAGTTTTTAGGCAGCATGATGTGAGCATCAGGCTGGGAGAGAGCTGGAACCTGCACCCCAATTACCTGTAGCTGCCTCATATTTTCCTCCAGTCTACACGTGAGAATTCAAGATTTGTCCATTTTTTGCCCAGAAATGCACAGAAAGGGATTCTGTCAGGCAGGATCTGAGCACTCTGCCTAATGCAACAGGTACTGCTCACACCTTGGGGATGGGATTTCTCTTGCTGCACAACTCTCTCTGCTCCCATGGGTATTCATTGCAGCCATCACCAGGATACACAAACCATTAAGTGCTGAAAATGAGCCACATGCACAGAGGCCGAAACAACACTGGTATATGCACATTAATCAGCATGTCTCCTTAGAGACCCTCAGGACCATGAAAGGTCATAAAACTGCCAGTGATTTCAGTCTTAAATTGGCATCAAAAGCCACCTTTCAGCAACTTGGATGTACAAAACTGAACACAAGCAAAACTGATCACAACCAGAATGTCCTAAAGCTCCAAAATGAGGGTGGGGAGGAAGGACCATCCCTATGATATCCTGATTATCAGTCCAGACTGGATTCTCTGCTACAATAAACAGTCAGGCTGCCCGAGATCACCAGCACCAACAGAACCCCCACATCTTTAGTAGATTACAGGTGCTACATGTCTACTCAATTAACAAAAAAAAAAAAAAAAAAAAAAAAAAAAAAAAGAAAATGAAGGAGGAATTAAAAGTTTCTACTTACAGCATTAAGCCCCAGGGAGTTTCCTGGGAGAGAGGAGGTGACTCCCGAGAGAATGGCTGTGGCCACCACTGCCCCCAGGCACTGGGCGAGGATGTACATGAGAGCCTTGAAGATGCTGATCTGGCAGCTGAGCAGCAGCCCCAGGGTGACAGCAGGGTTCAGGTGTGCCCCACTGATGTGGCCCACGCTCTGTGCCATGGTAGCAATGGATAACCCGAAAGCCAGAGAAACCTTCACGTTGTCCTGAGACCTCGTCGATGTTTTGTTGGCCACCACGGGGAAGTTGAAGCCCAGAGCCGAGCCAATGCTGATAAAAATAAAAAGGCTCATGGCCAGGAACTCGGCCACCACTGCCCTCCAGAAGATTTTCTTTCTGAATTCACTAGCCATCTTTCCTCTTGCTCTCTCTCTCTCTCTCCCCTCCTCACTTTCCCTTCTCCCTCTCTCCCTTCCTTTGCCTGATAATTTTCCTTTGAGGTCTGAAGAGAAATCTGGAGGAAAAATACAGTCCTTGGATTATTTATAGGGCTTTGGGTGGTCTGTAGGAGGGAAGGGGTGTTGCACAAAAGGAGGAAAGAACATCTACATAGATGCTGACTGCTAGATTGATGTAAGACACTGTTTGCCTGCCAAAGTTTTTTCTTCCTTTTTTTTTTTTTTTTTTTTTTTTTTTTTTTTCCTTTTCCCCTCCCTTCACAGCGTTCGATCTCTGACGCCGTTTTTAAGAGGCTTTTTTAAATTCTTGGAAAAAAATCTTTAGGAGAGCCTCAGGAATTTCAGCCTCACTTCTTTAACTCCTGTGTCATCTTTCAGCGCATGGGTCGGAACGAAAGCTTTGATGGGATTTCTGTCTGGAGCTGAAACAGAAAGCAAAGTTATCAGTGCAGACTGGTAAGTTATTCACGCTCAGCTTCAGCGGCAGCAGATAACAGCTGAAAGTAGTAAATAAGACTGACAGCTAAATCCACACTCCAGAGGCTTCAGTAGCTCTGTTTTGTTTGAAAAAAAAAAAAAAAAAAAAAAAGGCAGAAATGTCCCTTCTGCTGGCTCTGTGCACTCGGAGCTGTTCTGGATGCCAAGTCCGGCTGCTGTACGGACACACTTGGATTTGCACAGCTCACACGAGCTGGTGTTCACTGGTGAGGGATCAGTTCTAATCTCTGTGAAAATCTGCCACAACACTGTGCTAAGCCGGAAGCTTTCAATGCATGTAATTTGGATGCCGAGGATGATTTTTTTTTCTAATTTATATTTTTAATTTATGTCATTTCTTCACTTTTTTTTTTTTTTTTTTTTTTTTTTTTTTTTTCCCAAATTAACTATAACACAGACAGCCTTAATTTCTTTTTTTTTTTTTTTTTTTTCCTTCCAAGCACGGAGGCGCCTGGGGGTTTCCCCAGCCTTCTCTTTCTGACTGGTAGGGGAAAAAAAGCCAATTCTGGGGGCTTCCTAGCCCAGGTCCTGCAGTGAGAGCCCATCTCTCTCCACTGCTGAAGGTCAGCTCAGCTGTCCTGGCTGTCGCCAGGGAGACTCCGAGCCACAGGACTGGCCAGACAGAGAGACAGAGCAAGGGAGAGGGGAAATTACATGCTTGGTTTTGCAGACAAAATGAACCTCCCGGCAGTGCCAGAGCCTCTCAGAAGGTCTCAGAGCCTGGTTTTACCTCCGCGGGGCTCGGACACAAGGCTCAGATTAACCCCTGAGCTCTCAAATCCCTCCCTGCCTGCTCCAGCAGCTGCAGGAGTCTCCAGCTGCGAATCCCGGGCTTTGCTCTGACTTCAAACCAAGGAAAATCTGTTCCAGAGGCAGGGAGTGATTGCCCAGGCGCAACTCTTGAAGGATGGGTGTTTAAAAGCAGCCTACTTCTCTGCCTCCTCTTTTTTTCTCTTCTTTCTTTAATGGTAACATCTTCTGAATTGTACTTAAATTAATTCAAGGCTTTTTCGTTTGGACAATATGCCAGTTAGAAGGAAAAAATCAAATACACACCTGGATAGTATTAGACAGCCAATAAGGGAGTTTTTTAAATAGATTTGGTTTTCAAAAGATGATTCAGTGCCAAAGCTGAAAACAGTTTAAATAAAAACCCAGATGCCTGCAGCTTGACATCTCCAAGTTCTTATTCTTTCTAGGCATCAGATGTTCTTGATTTTTCGCATAGCAAATTTTATTTCCTTTTTGTTTTACGATACACTTACACAACAGGACTGTACCAGTGAAAAAGGAAAAAGTAAAGAAACGGGAACAAATTAATTACTGGGTTTAACCTTTTAATTACAGTGTGACTTCAATGAGGAGCCATATGACAGACAAATCAAAAGTCAAATTTAGCCAAATAGTGAAACACTATGGAATTTTAATATTAATATTTTAATATTAATATTTTTTAATACTAGTTGGTTCCTGTTGTATCCTGTCTAGTGGAACTTTTAATTTACTGCAAACGTTATCTGAGACAAAGATCTTCAGTGTTCAGCTTCCCTGGTCCTTCCAAGAGGATGCCCAAGACCCAGGCAGGGCATGTATCACACACCTCAGGGCACTGAGACAGCAGAGCTCTGTCAGTAGTTTGCAAGAGTTTCCATGTGTCCCAAATTGGCTTCTGTGGGGTGGAGCTGCCCAGAGAATCACCCATATCCACAGGAAACTCCCTCTTTACTCACCTCTTCCTACAATTAGGAGCTGGATGACCAAGCCACCCCTGTACCAGTGCTGATAAGGTGAGGAAGAACCTCTCCAAGGAAAACTTTCAGCAGGTGGGAAAACAGACTGGGGAAATATTGCAAAATGCTCCCCTGATTTCTGCAGTGTCCTCTCAGCATCCCTGACTGGCCTGTGCCAGAGACAGGACACCAGCAAAGCCACACCTTTATGTGAACAGCACAAACATTAAATGCACCTCAAGAGTAGCAGGTTGGGCACCACTTTGGTGTTGAAGCCGTTGGTCACCTCATGCTTGTATTTTCATCCTGGGACTCTCCATTTTTCTCTTCATAAATGTTACCAACCTCTCTTTTTGTATTTTGGAACTTGGTGCCACAGTAACTCAACAAAACGGTCGTTCAGACAGAAAAGAAAAGAAAAATCTAAAATAAATGAAAGACAATAACAGGGAATACACACAAATAATAGAAAAGAGACAGACTTTTCCTGTGCATAGGAAAACTGCCAAGTGAGGAAACAGAAGGGAATGGCAACAAAAGAATAAAAATAGAGGGAATTGTGGACAAGTTAAATTGTACAACAGTGTGAGTGTAATAAGGAAAAAGGAGAAAGAAAATGTGAGTAGAGAAAGCACACATCAGTTGGACTTCTTCAGAAATGTCCACCACAACACAAACCTAAGTGGTGCCCAACTCATTATGTCAATTTTCCAAAAACCATGTTACTCAGGCTGATGGCAAAGACCCCAGTGCTTGGTAAAGTAAACAAAGTACACTCAGACCTCAAAATGACCAGAAGCCCCCCCCAAAAAAAGATTGATATGCAATTTCCTTCATATCAGATAAGCTGGGGTTTGTGCAGACAGCTTTTCTGGGCATGGTTTTAGCTTATGCACCACACTTGAAGGTGGGGTTTGGATTTTTCTAGAAATAGAGATAATTGCCAAACTTATGTCAGTATTTAGAACAAGCAATTAAGAACAGGTCTGTTGAGAAGAAGAAGGAAAAAGGAGCTTTCTAGCTGAGGGGTGTTTCTTCACAGATGATTTAGACCTGAGTATTCCCAACCTCTCTTTGATTTAGTTACACTAGAGACTAGAGCTGAGTGAAAAATCAAGCTCACAGGAATGGGTTTTTCATTGCCAAGACCTCAGGACTGACTCCTCTTTTGCATAAAACAAATCAGATTTTGGAGGGCTGTAGCACAAATGTCCCTTAATATTTCATTCAGAAAACAAATGTACTTGTTGAAGTGGCAGGCTTTGTTCTGTGATCCCACATGTCAGATTGCTCAGGATTTCTGCTTTTTGAACAAGAAACAAATGTCAGTGACTTCAAATTTGGTCTTGGCTAACATGAAATCTCTGGGAATTTCCCTCTTAGGTAAAGGAACAGTCAAAGTCTGCCCTTCAGTCTAAGGGCAGAAGGAATGAACATAAGCCCAGCCATCAAATGATTGAAAGAACCAGGGGAAGTTCAGCAAAATACAATTACTCTTCTCTTTACAACAATTACACTGTGACCCTGCCAGACGAGTCCTTCAGCAGGCAAGCAGCAGTTCTTGGAAAACTCTTTTCCCTCCAGTTTCAGACAACAGAAATTCCCAGTTCTGCCCACTTCTTTCACCCCTCTGAGCCATCACCACCATGGAGAACAGCAAAGCCAGGGGATCCATGTGTCCTGCCCAAAACATCTCAGAAATGGGAAGGAGCTGAGCACTGCTGGGTGGAATGCAAACATACAGAAAGCTGAAGCTCAAAAGTGGAGTCTCCTGTAAGAATAACACTTAGAAACGTCAACAGATTTGCACCAACACTCAGGAGCTGCTTCCTGGGCTCAAGTCACTTTCTGGATAGCAGCAGAACCCCTCCATGCTGCTGATGTTAAAAGTACAGGGTGGAAATTGAGCCAAGGTAAAGATGCTTGGAAATTTCTCTGCAGGAGCTGCCTGATCACAACCAACAGCCTCTTTGCTACAACATTTCCCTGTTTCTGGTCCTCATTCTCCTTTTGGTTTTTGTTCTTTTTTTTTTTTTTTGCCCTCCAGACCATAGGAAAACAGTAGAAGAGAAAAGCTTATCAGTGAATATAAAATGGACAAGATCAGTGTTTGTACAATTAAATTAAAAGAAATTCAATATCAGCAGAGGCTGATACTGACATCACAGACCAATTTAGCCCAGATTGATATAAAAGATGATTTAAGATTTGTTTTCTCTTGAAGAAGATTTTGAAGGCATCTGAAGAGGAAACCACTCATGAATGTCCTCAGAGAATTTGCTTCCAATTTCAAGTTGTTCTCTCCTCTGAGAGCAGAAGACCCCACTGGACTTCTCAAAAACATCTATAATGCAGTGAGAAAATTTTCAGCACAGCAGAGTTTTTCATCACAAAAACAACAAAGCCACATGGGTGGCATTTGTCCCCAGCTGTAAATATCTCCCATGAAAACAGCTGCTGCTGCTCTGATGTCCTTTGCCTGCCCCTCAATAAATGCTCATTGTGAGCATTTTCAGAGTGTGATCACAGCTTTTGATTTTAGACATTTACACTGCACTGCCTCCATTTAAACCAACGTTTTAGGCTGCCTGGGCTGCCTAGCTCCAGAGTCAGCACTTACCTTCCTCTGGAAATCCTGATTCTCTGGCCATGAGAGCTGCACAGCTGCCAGTGACAGAACTGTTATTACCCTTTTTTTTGACACTTCTGGGACGTGAAATAATAAAGATTACTATCTTCCAACCCAGACACAAAAGGAAATTTCCCAGACAACTGCTAAACCAGCCTGCATCAGGAAGCAGAGTTGGGTTTTTTTTTTCTTTTTTATTCCCTTGTGCCACAAAGTTTGACAGCAGCATCTCTCCAGAGGATGCAGCATTGTGGACCACAAAGTCTTCACCACTGCCTTCTCTCTGACACATAGCATGGAGTGCCAGGGAAAAGCAGGGAAAAGGAACAGAAAAGTTGTCTCTCATCAGGAGCATCTTCTGCCAGAAGGCAAAATTCAGACAAATTCTTCCAAACTGGCCTTTTTTTTTTCTCCCCAAGCTTTTGCTGGAGAGAGAAGCCACACACTCTGCTGATAGCAGCAGCAAACTTCCAGCAGAATAAATATATTAATAACTGCCCTTCTCATATCAGTACTAGATATTAACCAAATAAACATCAATGCATTCTGAGGGAAAGTCATTTTTGTGAGAAGGGGGGGTATGAACCCTTACCATAAAATAGAAGAAAATCTTATGTCTTTCTCCAAACAAATACTCTTCTCAAATACTTTTCATTTAAACCCAGTTCTCTTGTGAAATATTTTGTTTCTCAATCTCAGAAAACGCCACCACACTGAGTGTGAAACTCCAAATATTATTCATTTTTCTATGTGTGCATATTTAGCAACAATTGTCCTTTTGAATTTCCTGTGCCCAGTGCATCACTGGGAGGCCGACCAACTTTTTTTCCCTTTTTTTTTTTTGTCCTGCACATTGTGTTACATAAAATAATTTGTCTGCCAGGAATAAGGGGCATGACACACCATGGGCATTACTGTGCTAATGAAAGCCTTGGTAGTTCATCACAAACACAGGAGGTGAATAAACCATTGTTATGGCCATAGGAATATTTTCAGAATTTGCCTGGATTTTTAAAGCACAGTCCAAGCTGCTGCTGCCTTAAGCTGCAAAGCTCCATGAGAGCAGTGCTGGTGATTTGGTTGTTTCCAGGGAGGTTTTTTATGTGATTTCCATGAGTTTTGTCACCAGATTTGATGACTGTGTGTGCTCTGTGCTCTGTTTCCCCCTGGCTCTGCTGCTCAGGCTCACAGCTTGTCTTTGGCACAGTCCAAGGTGCTGATTCAACATCAGAGACTTCTTCAGAATAATGAATTTATTTTAACTGCCAAGTGTTATAGGGCACTGGATGTTGAAATGATAGGGAAAATAAAAGGGAAACCTCGAGGTGAAACCTCTGACCTGTTTCCCAAGCAGAAAAAAAGCTTTGAGGTGAACTTTGTCAGGTTTACCACACAGCCACAGCCTGGGAAGTGTCAGCTGGAATTATTAAATCTGTGATTTCACATTGCAGCAGCAAAGGAATTCAGCAATTGATACAGGCTGCAGAAATGAGGCAATCAAACAAAGCCACCATAGGCAGAGCACTTACAGAAAGCTGTGCCAGAAACTCGTAGTAAATGGATCATCCTGGGAAGTTCCTGAGTCTTCCCTGCATTTCCAGTTACACTTCATCCCCCTGAGAGCAGCTCCTCTGGGCAGTCTCAAAGACCTTCCTCCAGGATGGGGATTCCTGTACTCCTTCAGATGTTGGATTCCAGTGCTTACATCTAAATTTTCCAAATCTCCCTGGTAATAAAAGCTAAACAACATGGATATTGGGAAAGATTTATTCCCTTCCTCTGAAAAATTTGGAAGATTTTTAAAGGTTATCCATCTTACTTTTTATAGACTGATCAACTCATTTCCCTGTAAACTTTCCTATTTTGGTTCTCTTGACTTCTGTTAATGTAGTTCTTTATCTGATGTTTTATGATTATAATACAGTGAATTTTCTCCATAGAGAATCTCCTTTGCACTTCAGACCAGTTTTACAATCCTCAAGGTTCATCTTAATTCTAACCTTGTGCCTCCAGAGTATGGCTGCCCCTTTTAACTCAATAATGCTTGTGACTTTTACTCCTGCTCCCTGCTCCATCATTCCAGGCATAAACCCACAGGAAACACCACACCAGAACAAGATCCCAGCAAAGCCTCTACCTCCATCACATCCTCAGTTTTGATCATGAAACATTGACAATTATCTCTTAGCTGTATTTTTCCAGCTTACTGCAAATTCATAATCCTGGCTGGTTTTGTTCTCCTTTGCTTACAGGAGCAGAAAACTCAAAGCATGACTAAGACAAAGGGATAACTATTGAAAATCACTTTAAAAAAAATTAAAATCCTTAGAAATAATAACATTCATCCCATCTAACTTAAGACACTTCCTATTCTGGTAATTTTACTTGTTTCCCTTGCAGTCAGTGGAAGGAAACAGGCATTTTTGGTGACTCTGTTTATAAATCCACTTTGGATGCTCAACATCAGAGACACCATCGACCACATTGACCAGATCTTTCCCTCAAAGTAAACTCTGGTGCACAAAACTACAATGCTTGTTTGTGACACAGATTATCACAGCAAGACCTACCCCATTTCTTCAGGAACAAGTGGGGAAGGGATTAATTAATTCCTTCAGTTACAACTGGGAATTGATTAATTATTCCTTGCAGAAGTAATTCTAAATAGATTATAAATTCACACAAATGATATTTATATTTATAGGAACCACCATTTTCCTTCCTTGCAGAAAAGCATCAATGTGCAGCACAATGGAGTATAGAAAATTCACCAAAAGCCAGGGATGCAGAACTAAAAAAAAAGAAAAATAAATTAATAAATACATAAAAATCTCTAAATTATATTGGGTTCCAGCTTTCCCTAAGAGAAGCAAAGCTGAGATCCAGTCAACTTTTGGCCTTTTCAAAGTCATCTCTCAGTTTTGTGGTTGTGTGACTCAGTTCTCATCTGAGCAGTAGCAAAGGGTCCCTATTAAATTCCTTCCTATTTTTCCATCTTTTCCTGATGTCATAAGGAAATAAGACTCCAGTATTAATGCTTATGGATTTGTGCTCTGTAAGGGTGAGGTAGCACCTCCCTGAGTGTGTCCACACTGATGCTGCAGCAGGATATAAAACAGTGATGCTGCCATTAAATGGTTTCAGACCTGTTTGTGCCACCCTTGCACTGCAGTCCCCATCCCATGGGTAAATTGGGGTCAGAGTCCGTATCCAGGGGAAACTCAAAAGTGCCCACATGGCAGCAACTTAAAATAAACCCTTTGGCTGGGACAGAAATAGGTTTTGGATGTGCACATGGTGTGGTGGTGTGTCTCAGCCAGCTGGGAAAAAAACTTTCCTTTAACAAATGGGAAAAGACAGTCGGAGAGGAGCCCACGATGGCTAATGTGGCATGGAGAGAGCTGGGTCACACCCTCACTTTGTGCATTCATTCCCTTCAGCCACTGAAGGCTGGGATAATTACACCCCCCATCAGGGTTTGCAGAGCTCTCAGTAATTCCAGACTCAGTATTTATATTCTGCTGTAGAAATGTGTGTGTGTTTTTCTATGAAACAGTTTTCCAAGCTTTTTCTTCCAGTGGGACTGTCAGGATATCCATGAGTTGTTCAAATGCTTTGACTGTGCTCATTGCTGTTAACAGCACAGAGCCACCTAAGGATTGCATTGATCTGCCCAACTCCCAGAAAAAAAAAGAATTAAAAATAAAAATAAAACGTTGCCATTTGCCGTAAGATTGGTTTAATAGAAAGAAGAGGTTCTGAGAAACAAGGGTCACAAGGCAAAGCCTAAAGACAATCAAGTCAACCTAGGCATAGGAATTTGAACTCTGAATACCAGTGAAGAGGAAGAATGGCTTGAATTGGCTGCTTTTGAGAGACTCACAAGAGTCTGTGGGCTTTAGAAACTCATCCCTGCTCTGCATTCCCACTTTATCCCAAGGATTACATGGTAGGAGGACTTGTGTGTCTTCAGGAAGGGTGGAAAAATGAAAGGCAGGATGGCACTCAATGGCAAAGACCTCCTAAACAAGGAAGAAATAGGGAAAAGCAGTCAGTTACCTGGTTTGACTCACACAGCAGTCATTTCCCTCCCACAGCTCTCACTCCAAAAAATATTTCTCCCATAATGTGGGACAGTGTATCCACCAGCTCCAGGGCAAGGAGAAAACATCAAAAATGGTGCCAGGATTCATTTCCCATCCATGTAAGAGAGGAACAGCTCACTGACATGACAGCTGGATCACAAAACCATGGAATTAGATGGTGGATGACTTTCTCCAATTACAGTTGCCCTGCATCTCTTCTTTGCCATTGCAGGGCAGGAGAGGAGATGGGAATCTCCTCCCCAGACCCTTCAGCTGGCCTGAAATTGAGGGGAGAAGCCCCTTAGTCTGATGGCATCCAGCAGAACTCCTCAGGGTGGACTTCAGCTTCCAAAGGATTTCCAAGGCAAACCTTTAGACTTTTGCCCCCTAAACTGCTCCAACTTGTGGATGAACAAGACATCTATGATGGGAAGATGTATGGTGAGCAGGGATTTTGGAATTTGCACTGGGAAAGATGTGTGTCCTGGAAGGAGGTGTCTCTGCTCAGCTGGACAGCAACAAGTGCTCCATAAATTAAGTCTGTCCCAGCAATTAATTCACTTTTCCATAATGATTGGATCACTGGAGGTGGGAGAAAAAGAAGAGTGAGTCTGGATGATTTTCCCTGGTCTGGAAGACAAGACAAATAACAAGATTTGGCAGGTTTGAGCAAGGACTTATCTTGGACAACATTTACAGCGTGAATGTGAAGAGCACCTATGGGGGCTTCAGCTGTCCTGGAATTCAGAGCCTCCCAAACTTCTTGAGGCACAGCTGGACTCCTTAAATTCAGGGACAGTTGCCACTGCCACAGAGGAGTGACATTTCTATTAGCAAAGTAGCTGCAGATCTGGATTAGGGTGTAATCCCCTTTCCTTTAATTATCCACCACCATTGATCCAGACTAACAAACAGTTAGGAGTGGAAGGCTAATAATCAAACAAATTATTATTGCAAAGTTTGGCTCAACTGTGTATGTTTCAGTTGAGAATTATGCTTGGATTATGGTGGAAGGAAAAATGTCAGTTTATCTGAGAGAGGGAAGCTCAAGGGAAATAAAAAAGGAACAGCTGGACATTGTTCTTTGCAAATGCAGGAGTTTTGGCTGACATTGTTGCACAAATTGAGATTTGGACATTAACTGAGCTCAGCTGGGGTAAATAGCTGCTTTCAAAATACCAAACCACCTTCCAGACTGCAGGCCTTGCAGTGCCACAGAGGTGAAAGACCAACCATGACTTGGGTCTCCATCACTCTGAAATCATGTAGAGGTCACCAAATAGTTACAATAATTTTGACTTTCATGTCCAAGGAATTGCAATGGCTGAAAAGAATATTCCCCCTCACTCAGCTGACAGAACTGGGACTATGATTTAAGTGATTTCAAATAATAGTTTTACCAAATGTAACCTCCAGTCCTTTTAACACACTCTCTCTCTCTGTGCAGAGTGAGGAATCTGAAATGGGACTGAGATGGGGAGTAAATATGCAAATTCAATAAAATGACACCAATTAAATGCAGGTTTATTTCAGATTTTCCAGTGGATTAGCAGTTTGAAATATTTTGTTTACATTTGATATTTCCTACTCCTAAAAAGCAGCAATGTCAGGGATATATTGTGTTCACAGAAAGAAGTAAGGTGGGTTAGAGTATCTCTAGAATATCTCCTGCCATGTGGATATCCAATACCACACAAGATTTGAATGGAAACTTCTGGTGCCTCATCCTACCTCAAAATACAGCTGAATCCAAATTCTTCAAGGTGTTAATGTGGCAGTGTTTGTTTTTACTTTCTATTTTAACCTGTTGGAAAGCCACATATAAAGCATGCTACAACATTTTCCAGCCTCCTCAAAGAGATGGGGATGACAATTCCAGGTAGAGCCATTAAGGTGGTGAACCA